CAGCCAGGAGGCCTTGCTGCTTCACACTGCAATCTCCTGTGTCTCTGACCTACGAATCAGCTCCAGGGTGTAAATGCATTCCCAACTGGAACTGAAGAGCAGTGGGACTAAAAAGACCAGCAGTCAGAAAGGCTTCAATTTTCGAGCAATGGGGTAACAAACATAAACACAGTAACACGTAAAGCAGATTTAGGAGAAGGGGGTCCCAGTGCATTCATCTCCAGGCAATGGAGAAACTGAGAGAGGGGATCTCCAGGAGATATGTGTTCTGATACACTCGCTGTGCAAGAATGTGTGCAAATTGTTATTTCTCTCTGTGCTTTGGTTTCTTCAGGAAATAGAGAAAAATTGCAGTCAGATGAAATATGCCATGTCAATTATTTTTCTTTCTTATGAAAGATCCTTCCTCTTTATCCACACCCTGCAATATGTGCCATGTTTTGCATGCTCTCTCTGAACACTCTGACTTGCTGACCTTCTTTGGGCAAATGAAAGTCTGATGTAACTTCCCATGAGTCCCATCTGATACAGCTTCCTTTTGAACCCATCAGAACTGGTTTCTGATGACTGAAGGGAATGCTGCAGAGCTCCCAAAGTTCAGGTTCTTGTCTGACCACTGTACACCCTGACTGTCTGGAAAATCAAAACCGCCTCTGCAGAGAGTGTCTTGATCTGTTAGAAAGTAGCAGAGAATGGCAGCTATATTTAAACTTTAATAAAGTTCTTCTGAACAGGATTAGGTGTTCATGGAATGTCTGCACTAGTACATGGTATTAAAGTATATCTTAACGTTGTTGCTACTGTGTTCAAGCAAGGGGGAAGACCCTGCGATTTTTAATGAAGTGCTTATGGCTTTGTTGATTGCAGGAGTGTCCAGCTCCTGGTGCTGTGGGACTGCAGAGTTCCTGAAGAGCTGATGCTTAGCTTGGGTCTGCATGTTCAGACTGATCTGGCTGAGTCTGGGATTACTGACTGCTGAAGTCTTGTCTTCTATCTTGCAAGATTTGAGTAGAAGGTGTCAGAAATCTTACTGGATTAAGTTTCTCCCTCATGGATGGTTCTGTCAGCTTGGGATGATATTTTGCAAGATGAGACTCTGGTTTGTTCATGCTAGAATCAGATCTGTGTTTCTTCTGAATCAGGGTCTGGATAAATTAAAAACAAAGCATGGTACCTGATTCAGAGGATTTAAATCCAGACTGTTCATCCCCTACTTTTCAAGAAGTTCAGATCTGAGGGTTGGATTTCAGGAAATTTTCATTTAGGGAGTGACTAAAGATCTGCAAGAGCCCTAGAAACCAGGGTTCTTTGTTCGTAAGCCATGCACAGCGCAGACAACAGCAATAGCAGCAATTCACTTCCCTGGAATTGCAAACAAGCTTAACCCTGAGCTGGAAAGGCCATACTCTGGAGAGGTGAAAGGAAATTCAATATCTGAGCTGAGTGTGTTCTGACCTCCTTGGCAGACAGACTGCCAACTGCACAGAGTTCTGCTGCTGATGGGATGAGGACCCACTGAGGCCTCCATCAGCCAGGGACACTCCCAGGGGACCCCAAAGCCCACAGTCTCGGGGGTGGGGGACAGGGAGGTCAGCAGGAGGCCCATGTTATTATCCCCATGGTACTCAGATGCCTTGGAGAGCTTTGGGGTAAAATTTTGATGTCTCTTTTACAATGATCTGTTTCTCTACATAGTTTGAAATATCTGGTTCCAATGGTACTAAAAATTTGCTGTGACTGAGAACTTTTCCAGTGCAAAGTACTTGTTAAAATATAACATGTGTCCAGACCAGACTTGAATAAAGATTGTACTATTCTTCACATTACATTGAAAGTTTGGCAATTTTCTTGAGCTTACAATGTAACTTTCCATTGAAGTCTAATTATAGACTTAAAATAAAAAGTCTTTCCTGTTTTCTGAAGGATAATAGTGACATTTACCAAGTCCAATCTCTATTTTTGAAGTCAGATATTCAGGCATGTGTTGCTAGTTGGTACTTTTTTTTTCTTCCTTCTTTTCAACAAGTGATTCTAAAAAAGTGTCATCTTTCCCAGGCTGTTTTCTGAGCAATGCCCCAAACTTCATCAATCTGATAAATGTTTCTTCTGGACTATTTATGTCCCCTTTCTAAGGGCTGTATTCTTGTCCCCCTTAGTGTGGGTCTTGTCTCTTTATCCCTGGCCTGTGTTTGTTCCCCAGCTGAAGGTGGGTGTTGTGCTTCTTTGGAATCTCTGTTTTGTTTGAGGGAATTTTTCTACAATAGCAAATAAGTGACGTTTTCTGATAAAAGGGGTGTACTCTCTTCTTTTGAAACCAATATTATCTTCTCATCAGCCATTTGAGAGTGGAAATGTATTTTAATAACGTATTTCTAATAGTGTTAATGCAGCTACCTGTGCTGTCAATCAGTTGAATTCAGTGAAAACTCTGGGGTGAAGAGATATGGTGGAAAAACTGGTTTCTTTGACTCTGAAGATCTTCACAAAATTCTTTCTGTTCAAGTTTAGCTGATTATTTTATGGTTTTCCACTACATGTGAGATTTATCCTGTGCAAGTCTGGCCAATCAGCACAAGAGCTCAAAGCCTTTAGCACAAAATATTTTCAATGGGAGCTTAATATACCAGATAAAGTCAATCAAAAGCAGCCATTTAAATCTTTCTGTAGCAAATGCCAGACAGATTTTTCAAGGAAGGCTTGTGTATATGCTTAATTTTTTTCTTTATTCATGTTTTCTTTGTCTGTCTTTCTCTGCCTTAAAGATGACAGGCCAGAAATTATACTTTTTTTGATGCCATAGATTTTTTCTTTTTGTACCCATATATTGCTAATGACTCTTGGGAAATTCATCAGAAGCAAATCCTTGATCATAGTTATAGGAACTCGATAATTAAGGACTTGTTCCTTCTGACATAACATGGGTAGACAGGTACTTTGGATTCAGATACTGAGTCCACTGTACTGGTCAGAAAATACTTTCCTGTAATGCCATAAGATTTTGCCTTCATTGAAAGGAGAAAAAAATAGATGGAAAAAAGCAGATGAGGAGGATAGAAAAGGAAGGCTGTGGTATTTTCTTCCTAAAGAATTTATAAACGTTGGTGTGAGTCTTATCCAGCACAAGGTATGTAAAATAGTAGAGATATTCCTCCTCTATCAAAGTTCATTTTTTGCGCTCATAAATAGTTTATATTAGAGTTTGAAATCTATCCTGAAGGCAGCTAAGACTTGGAACAATTCAGTCTCAGGAACCTCTGTAGAGCTCATTTTTACAAAGAAATACACAGCCTGATTTTCAAAACAGAGGGTGTCAGATCAGTCGTAAACCCGTGGAACAATATGAGGTTTAGTCATCATCCCTCTCTTCTCATACCTTTGTATGTTATATAAGTGCTATTTAAAAATGTAGTTCCACTATGAGAGGTTGGTGTGTTCCCCCTGGTTACAGGGTGTTACTGTGATTTATGGCATGGTGGCAATGCTGAGTCTGGGATTCCCACACACTGGATTCTGGGCAGGCAGGGCAGGAAGGGAGTTTCTCCAGAGAGCAGTCCATGTTTGCTTCAGCCCTCCCTGGGAGGAGGTGGCCTGGCTGCTGAAGCCTCCCAAAGGGGTGCAGGTTTGTGTTGTCACTGTTCTCAAAGCATATTCTTCACTTGGCACTACCCTGGGGAGTCCCCCTGAGTGAGCCAGCCTGGAGACCTGCTGGGAGGGCCTGCTGGGGGCATGGAGATGAGCGTGGGGGTCACTGGGTGCATTCATCCTAAAACCCTGCTGAGAGGAGCAGTGCTGTAGAGCACATTCTCTGGTGTCCTTCCAGTGTTGTACTCAGGTCTGACTTTGATTTGAGCAGGTAAATGACTCGAGAGCCCATTAGCAATCGTTTGACCTACTGTGCTCCCCATTTCCCGTCCCAGCTCCGACACTCCCTGTAATTTATGAAGCTATTACACTTCGGTTGGAACTCAATTCCCAGGTTTGTTCCATTTACAGAAATTAGTACTGAAAGACATAGCAGTGATGGAGGGCTTGGAATAACCATGAAGTTATTTGTCTATTTAATATACATTTTTTTAGAACAGCATTTCAATATCTGTGAGAACACAGCGGGGCTGACTGTACTTCCGAAGTTCAGCACTTGTTTTCAGACTCTTCAAGTTTCAGGCTGCACCATCAGGGCTGAGTGATACCACTAAAGAACTGTGAAATGGAGAGTTACCCTGTCCCCCCTTCCTATTTCCCTTGCAAAATAAAGAGCAGGGGAGAAAAACAATGCTACTCTGACTTATTCATCTTTATTCAGTTTCTCTGTCAGTGAGGGGATGAAGCGAAAAATTCAGAACAAAGTAACTTAAAAAATCAAAGGATTAAAGCCCCATGTATGTGATCCTGATGAATTGGATGATTCAGAAGATGTTAACCAGAGCAACAGCTGTAATGGAAGGAGAGCCTGTAACAAACAGGTTTTCTGATTTATCGGGGTAATCAAGCATAGAAGTGGGCAGGCACTGGGTGGTACAGAATACCAACATTTTTTTTGTGCTGCCTGGGAGATATATTTGAACCTCTAGGGAAGAATTGCCCTCTCCCCCTTAATTCCCCTGAAGAATCTTTTTTTCTTTTCCTGAAAATGAAAGCAGGGAAAGAGTATTTCCCTGAACCCCTTTTTAAATCTTAAAATGATTACTGCTTGTTTATTGTTGTTGGTAATGTAACAACTCTCACAGGAGACTAATCTTGCTTGCTGGGGACTCCATTCCCTAAGAGAAGGGAGGTAATAAGTGTAGGAAAAGTGGCAATTATCAATCTAGAGATGGTGGGCTGCTTAGAAAAATGCAACAAATGCCTTGTGTGTTTTCAGTGTGGTTTAGTCTGGTAGTAACTAATGGTCTTTGGATTGAAGACTTCTAAGAAAAGAACCTACCCTAAAATTATCCTAAAACTCATCTCTAATGCTATTTTCCTTGCTTGACAGTGCAGTGTCCCATCCTCTCTTTCAGCTGTAAAGCCAATGGGAACACGATGCAGACAAAGTTGAACATGACTTGACTGTGCTGGGGTTCCTGAAGATAACAACCTGTGTCCAGTGTGGTGGGACTGAGGCCTTCATCCAGTTTGGTCCCCTCTAAACCCCCCCATTTCAGCGTGCAGGGAGCATGCCCTGCAGTACAGGCTCTCTGTGGTATTCCCTGAAATCCCTTCAGCAGTGCATTTGCTGGAAAATGCCAAGGCTTGGAATTTATCAGCCTGAGTAAGTTTTCTCCTGCAATGCTGTTTTCTTCCTGAGATCATACCCCTGAATAAAATTCCTACCTAGCCTTGACTGGGCGTTTTGAGCTTATACATGTCTGGTTGCATCATCTGCTTGGTTTTATTCCTTCTGGGTATTTTCCAAGTCTCCCCAGCAGCATGAAGTGCTCATCTCCATCCCATCCACACAGCACCTTGCAAAGCTGCCTCTGTGGGACACCAGCCATAAGCCATCCATGTGTGTCAATCCCAGCCACTCCTGACTGGAAGGAGGAAAGCTTTGTTTTCATCAATAGCACTGTTTTTTTTTTCTTAGTCTTATGATCTTTCTCAGTAGCGCTTTTGTCTGTTGTATGTTTATTAAGAAAATAATTTTTGTTTGCTTGTTACAAGAAGAAAGAAGTTCACTGCACACATGGCATAATATTTGTTTGATTTCCTGACGTGGTTCCTGAAGCCAGAGTGTGAAAATGCTGATACTGCCTCTTGAGATGAATATCAGTCTTTTCCAATCTGTGTGTATACAAGTGTCCAGATTTAATTAAATTTTAAAGTTATCATTAGTATTTTAGTATTATAAGCCCCTTAGAACAGGGTTTTAGTGGTGGTATTCTTTGCTGTTATTGTAGTTTTTAACCAGATGCAGGATTTTGTGGTCAATAATTTCTCTCTAAGTGTTTCAACAAAGCTGTTCCCACGTTGCGAGTGTGCTGACTGAGGTGGATTCCATTTCTCTTCCCTAACTGGATGCAAGTTCAAAATCCTTAGCTTTTGCCATTTGTTCTTTCTGCTGCTGGATTTGCTGCAGTTACCAGTGTGAGATTAATTTTTCTGTGAGGGAATAGCAGTCCCAAGGCTGGACTGAATTAGGCCGAATGCAGTGTCTTCTTAAATGAGAAACCATCTAAAAATAATATTGGAATAATATCACAGAGCATCCAAACAAGCAAAAGAAATAAAAAACAAATGAAGAAAACAGGCTGCCTGCTGTGCCTTCAGGTAGAGTAAGTCTGGGCTTCAGTAAATATTTTCCCTGGGTTTGTGATTTCATAGCTGAGTGACTCCCAACAGAACCACCTGTTTGCCAGCTTTTTACCAGCCCCAAGCTACTCCTTTCTCCCCTGAGCCTCACTAAAATTTTCCTGCTTTGAGAACCCCCAAATCAAAGCCCCTGAAACTACTGTGGTTGGCTGCCTGGCTGCAGCTGCTGATCCCCTCTTCCTTCCTGGGCTGCTCTGAGCAGCAGCTCTTTCCATCTCTTTGGCCGTTCTGGTGAACCCCCGTTTGTTCACCTTTCACTGCAGAAAGCAGCTCCCCATATTCTGGGGCATTGCTCTGGTAGCAATTTAGCAATTAGCTCTGGTAGCAATTTAAGAAAACCTGGACGCCAGCTGGGACTTCCAAGGAAGAAAAATAAGATGTGTCTGAGAGAAAACAGGTGCACCACAGCTCTGGGTTTGGTGAGCTCCAACAATACATCTGATGTAGCAGCAAAAATATTTTGGGTAACCTTAAGAAAAGCTGTCTCCTGCACTACATTATCATTAATAATGGCACATTCCTGGTTTCAGTAAGTATATCAAAGATGTTTATTTTAAGGAGAAAGGGCACAGTTTATTTTGTGCAGAACATGTTTGGGAATGTTTGTCATGATGTGTCAGTGACAATCCCAAAGACCTGGTGTTGCCCTCTTTGCCTGTCACTGGCTCCCTTGACTCCCATCAGTTTGCATTCTTGGTATTGAACATCTCTCCCCCAGTGAAATGTTGATAGTTTTTTAACAAAAAGAACCTTCATATAATTGATATCTGCAAGAAACTGAGCTCCAAAAGCATGTTTTAACCTGTGTATTTTGTAAACACAACATGAAAAATTCACAGAGAATTTCTGTTACATCCTGAGGCAACTGTGAGCCTTTCCCAAAGTAAAGGCAAGGGAGCTCTACAGTGTATAAGGAAGGTGTATAAGGAAAGTGAACAAAGAGAAGGTAGATGGGAATGTACAAGTGGAGCTTGCAGTTAGTATGTCTTGTGCACCCAGCAAAAGCTATTTATGGTGCTGTGGCTCCAGGACAGACTACCTCATGGAGCCACAGCCTATTCTGCTGCTTTAAGGACTTCACCTTCCTAAGCAGCAGAAGGTACACTGCCCTGGACTTTGCTGCTGGCACAATTAATGTCAGTCCTGGAGTCCCACCACTGTAATAGTGTGAGCTACAGGATGTGCATTTTCCATGCCCTGAGTTGACCTTGGGTGTGCAAAACTTTGGTGAAGCTTTACTGTGTAGACAAGGCCTTAGGCAGGTAGAATTTGCCAAATGTAGTGTTTAATGAGACAGCCAAGTGAGTGTAACACACAGCAAGTTCAGTAAAGCCCCTGAGGCCTGGGGTCCGAGGAATGTGCTGTGATGTAACAAAATGAGTGAGTGATCCCTTTCATCCACCTCCCTGGTTAGGCTGAACCTGGCTCCTCAGGGATACAGGGAGAGGCCCAGAGCACAGGGAAACCAACAGCCTTGCCTGGCTCCTGAAGGGTCTGGGGGGGCCTCACTGTGCTGACCAGGATCTGTCCTCCTGTCCTGGTGCTCCCAGCACAGTGGTGTCCTCAGGACGCTGGGAGTAAGGGGAAGGGCCCCAGAACTCTGCTGTGCCTGGCACGGGGCACACCCAGCACGGGGCCAGGCAAAGGGCTGTGGGGTCTGGGACAGCTGTCCAGGCCAGGGGAGGGGTTGTTGCCAGAGATGGGACATGGGCATGGAGGGGGCACAGCCGGGCAAGTACTAGAGATGGCTCAGCTGTGAATTTTCTCTCTTGTTATGAGCTCCTGGTACAGGATATTTTACGTGGGATCCCCAAATTTGGACACTGTATTTGGTGCCATTATGGAACAGTCAAGTACATAATTTTTTTTGTTATAAACATGGTTATTCTGAGAAGTATATTTACTGGTTTGAACAGTTTTAATCTCAAGAATTTGAGGTACAGGAGTTGAATGTTATTGTATTCCCCTAAAACATTGTGATGCCATCATTACAAATGCTGTTCCTCTCTGTGTAAGTTGATTGCACCTCTGCAAAAGGAGTGTGTCATGTCACACACACACAGTTCAAACCTGCCTATTGCACTGTAATTCTCAACATCTCTGTAATTGGAAACATGAAGAAAAGACTAACAAGTGGATTTCTAAAGGGTTTTAAAAGACAAGAGTAGGGATTTTTTTAAGGCAAATTCTTCTATGTTTTCTGCTAGAAAAACTGCTCACCAGTCTTGTGGTTTGTGGATGAGGATCAGAACCCATTGCTCTGTCCATGGGAGGGAAGGCACTGATCACTGGGTAAGGCTTTCCTGTCTTTAGCACCTGCTGGTAGATGAAACACCTTTTAAATGTCTAAGAAAATGACACTTGATTCAATTTTCTTTCAATTCTAGACAAAGTTCTTTTCTCCCACACAGCTTTTGTTCTTTTAGATTGATTTAATCATAGGCTAAAACCATCAGAAACCATATGGTTCGAGAGACCTCCTGGACTTGCATCAGACCACACCCAGCAAAATACTGTATTTTGCTGGCAAAAGTTTAAACTGTAAGGAGAATCTAATGGGATTGTTAGGAGTTACAGTTCTAAAAACTGAGCTCTCCAAGCACAATCTCTTTGAACCTAAGAGAAATCAGTTCTGTTTCATCAAAGAGATAAGAAAATAAACATGATCATTCCTTGGCTCTGAAATGCTTTTTATTCAACAAAGTAATTTCTGTTTAGAAAGACATTTGGAGCTCTCCTGCTTGACAGTGTCTTGTTCTCTGACACTCATCTGTATATTGTAAAAAATAAGACTAATACTCTTTGTTTTGTAGAATTTGGAAATGTATTGAGAGGACCCTGAAACAAACAGAAGTGTAGCCCAGAAGCAAGCCCTGGAGGATGGAAGCACAGCCCTGCAAAGGCTGAGGTATAGCTGAGGCAGGGAGGGGGAGGAGGAACATTGAAGTGCTGCCTGTTTGGCTCCCCCTGCTCCCATTTCTGCTCTGGGAACACAACCTAAGGCAGATCCCCTGCTGATATGGAGGTCACACAGTTTATTTCTGTCACACTGACGTGGTCTTGCCAATACCAGGGGAGCATGAATCAGAAGGTTATTTTAAAACCAAAAATATATGTGTCGCTTTGTATTATACAGCATCGAAGGACCACTTAGGATCAGGGCTTCACCTATCACATGCTGAATCTGTTACAAGTGGAACATGTGTTGTGTTGTTGATCCTCTGAGAAAGTTCAACCCAAGATGCAATGAACTGTGGGAGGAGAAGGGAGGGTAAAGGAGCAGAAGTGTTGGGTGGTCTGCACAATGCTGGAAAGGAGGCAGAAGGCAATATGCTAAAAACTGTCACTTAGAACTATTTAGGCAAGTAACTGAAAGACTTGGAACAGTGGAAAAGACCTTCTTTGTTTAACTAAACACTAAAGACATCTGAAAGATCTGGAGTTGATGTGGGGCTGGGGTGGGAGGAGGCAGGACAGGCAGGTGAGCAGATTAATGGTATTGTTGCAGCTTGCCCATATAGTGTTTGGGTTCTTTATTTCCTCAGCTATGTTTATCTGGTGGGATATTGTTGATACAAGCTTGATCTGGAAAAATATAATCAACCTATTTGAAAAGGTCAGCTTCATGAGAACTGTTTTTCAGGGCTGGTGAGCTGTGTGTGGAGGTGTGACTGGCAGCAGTTGGGATGGCCAAAGGGATTGAAGAGACGCCTCATGCTGAGGATGTAAATGGGGAGGAGAGAGAATGAAACCAGTTTGCCATACGATGCAAAAATGTCTTTCTCTCTTTGTCACATCTTTCAACTATTGAAGGCAATATTATTCTCTCCATGCACTCAAATGAAAAGTCAGAAAGCCAATTAAGTTATCTGTGCATGGACACTACTGCCATCTCCAGAAGAAAAAGATTAATGCTTAATCAGACTCATAAACTTATTCGACTCTGGCTAATGATACTTTCCTTTAATCCAAGCACTACTTCTGGAGCAGGATACTCTAAATCTTCCTGTCTCCTGGAAAGTCTATGGAGTTGGAGGCAGTATTATGAAA